GAGAGAGAGAGAGAGAGATTAGAGGCACTCATATTTATATATCCATCTCCCCATTCCCTTGCCCTCCCATCCTCCCATGTTCCCCCCCAACCCATCCCCCAACTCATCCCCAGGGATAATGAGGCCCTCCACGGGGCACCTTCAAAGTTTGCCATATCATTTGGGGGAGGGCCTAGGCCTCCTTGCTGTATCTGGGCTGCAATAGTATCCCTCCATAGGGAATGGGCTCCCAAAGTCCATTTGTGCTCTAGGGATGAACACTGGCTCCACTGTTAGAGGTCCCTTAGACTGTCTTGGCCTCCTAACTGGCACCCACATTCAGAGGGCTTGGTTTGGTCCAATGCTGTTTCCCCAGCTTTATCACTAGGGTCTCCATGCTCTCAGTAGGTCAGGTCAACTGTTTCTGCAGGTTTCTCCAGCACTGTCTTGGCTCCTTTGCACAACTGGATTCCAGGAGTATGGTTCAGTGCTTAGCTGTGGGTGCCTGTTTCTTCATCGAACAGCTACTGAATGAAGGCTCATGTTTGTCTTTTTGCGATTGGGTTACCTCACTCAGGATGGTTTCTTCTAGTTCTGCCCATTTGCCTGTGAATTTCAAGATTCCATTGTTTTTTTCCACTGAGTAGTACTCCATTGTGTAAATATACTACATTTTCTCTATCCATTCTTCCAGTTGAGGAGCATCTAGGGTTGCTTCCAGGTTCTGGCTATTATTATATATTTTACATGTTAATTCTCTGTCAGATGTGTAACCAGCAAAGGTTCTCTGCCATTCTGTGGGCATCCTCTTCACTCAGCTGATTATTTCTTTAGCTATGCAGAAGATTTTTAGCTTTTATGAAGTCCCACTTGTCAAGTATATTAGCCTTGGTTCTTGGGTAAATGGAGTCCTATTCAGAAAATCATGTTGGGTACCACCTGTTTGTTGTTGTTGTTGTTTCTATTCTTTAGAATAGTTTAAGAAGGCTTGGCTGTTGATCTTCTTTGAAAGTCTGATAGAATTCTGCTGTGACTCCATCTGGCCCTGTTTTTTCTTGTTTTGTGTTTTGTTTTGTGCTTTTGTTTTGTTTTGATTTTTAGCTGAAAGACTTTTTTTTGTTATTATCTCAATCTTCTCATTTGTTATGGGTGTGTTTAGATTGTTGAGTTCTTGGTTTAATTTGACTGAATCTAGAAAATCATCCTTTGGGTTGTTTTTTTTTCTGGTTTTCAAAAATAGCTTAATGTTAAACAGGTTTCTAAAAATATTCCCCTATAATATTGTGAATTTCTTTGGTGTCTGTTGTAAAATTTCCATGTATTTTTCTGATTTTGTTAATTTGGGTCCTCTCTTTCTTTCTTTGGTTAGTTAGGCCAAGGGCATATCAATCTTCTTGTTTATTATCTCAAAGTGCTCTTAGATTTGTTGAGTCTTTATATTATTTGTTATTGTTGTTTCTATTTCATTGATTCATGCTGTGAGTTTTATCCCCATTGTTTGGGTTTGGATTTGATTTGTTCTTGTTTTGCCAAATTTTTGAGTTTATCATTAAGTCATTTATTTATTCTCTTTCTGATAATATAGTCACTTAGAGCTATAAATTTCCTCTCATAAGACTGTTTTCTTTCTTTTTCTTTTTTTTTTTTTTTTGGTTTTTCGAGACAGGATTTCTCTGTGTAGCTTTGGAGCCTATCCTGGCACTCGCTCTGGAGACAAGGCTGGCCTTGAACTCACAGAGATCCACCTGCCTCTGCCTCCCGAGTGCTGGGATTAAAGGCGTGCGCCACCAACACCTGGCCTCATAAGACTGTTTTCAATTTGTACCTGAGGTTTTGTTGTGTTTTCATTTTACTTAGATCTAGGGAATTTTTTTATTTCTTTCTGAATTTTTTTCTTAGGCCCATTCATTACTCAACAATGTGCTGTTTAATCTCCATGAGTCTGTGTATTCACTAAAGATTTTAAGCATTTCTGCTTTGTGGTAGACAAGATACAAGGAGTGATTTCAATCTTTTTTAATTTTTAAAGATTTGTTTTGTGTCCCAGGGCTGTGTTCTGGTTTAGAAAAGATCCCATGTGCTACTGAGTAGAAGGTACATTCTTTGATGTTTGGTTGCAATGTTCTGTGGGTATCTGTTAAGTCCATTTGATGTCTGATATAATTAATTCTGGTGTTTCTCTGTTTAGTTTTTCTTCAGATGACCTGTCTACAGGAGAAAGTGGGGTATTGAAATCCCCTACTATTATTGGATTGATATTAGTCTGTCTTTAAATCCAGTAGTAGTAGTTGTTTTGGTTTTTGTTGTTATTGTTGTTGTTTTATGAAATTGAGTGCCCCAAAGTTTGGTACATATATGTTTAAGATAGTAACATCTTCTTGGTTAACTGTCTCTTTGATTAAAATGATGTGTCCCTTTTTCTCTCTTCTGATTAGTTTTAGTCTGTTTTGTCAGATAATAAGATAACCTCTCTGTATCTACTAAATTTACTGGATTGTAGAATAGAATGCCTATGCCACAGGGCTGTTGCTAAGATGAAATGAATTAACTATGTGAACCACCTAGGCAATTAAACTGTCAGCATGCTTTCTTTACTAAGAAATATGCAAATTTAGCAGCATTCTCACTCTGGGGAAAGAATAGACAGTGAAAAAGAAAAAGTTTATTTTTTTTGTTTTGTTTTTTAAGGCATCTGTAAATAAATTACTAGAATTGTTACAATTAGGAAACAACTCAACTTGCCATAGATTAAAACCCACATGGGGGAACAAGTTATTTGTATAGACATAAAACTGTAATGTCTTACTAGGTAAATATACTAAACACATATGCTCTAATTAAATAAATATTTTTAAAGATTTATTTATTATATACAGTGTTCTCCATGAATGTAGGCCTGCAGACCAGAAGAGGGCATCAGATTCCACTATAGATGGTTGTAAGCCACCATGTGGTTTCTGGGAATTGAACTCAGGACTTCTGGAAGAGCAGCCAGTGCTCTTAACCACTGAGCCATCTCTCCAGCCCCATAAATAAATATTTTTAAAGAATAAAAAGTTGATAGTGTTTGGGAAAACAGTAAATTGGGGGCATCATTAATAATTTTCATACTGTATTCTAAAGATGGGAGGATTGATGTTGTAGATAAAGGACCAGATACTGTCGCTTGGCCCTTACTACCTTAATCACACCCTGATATGATTCAGTCATGACTGTGAGACTTCAGTATGTCCACAGAAGCTTCCCTGGGCACTGGTGGACATTTCAGTGTGAGGTCCTTTGTTGAGACTGCAAGAGTCCGGGTTTCACCCTTTAATAGCCTAAATCATTCTATTGGTTTGTTTCTTACTTTAAAAATGGGCAAATAAGAGTCATTGCCTTGTGAACATTAAACACAAAGAATGAAAGAAACTTTGCACAACAAAGCAAAGGCTTCCAATAGGCATTTGCCACTTTTCAGGCCCCTGCATTACTACCCCAAATAGTGGCAACTTTGCTAAGAGAAGCCACCTTTTAGTTAGAGCCCAAGGTGTAGCAGAGTACTGTCTGACTCCAGGGCCCATGCAGTGAGCTTAACTACTCACAGGCTAAAACAAAAATTCTTGTGTGATGCCCTTGCCCCACTAGACCAGGAGCTATGGTATTCCAATCAAAAGTCGGTGAGCTTTGTTTACAGGTGCTGTTAGTGATCACAGCAGAACCCAGAAGGTGCAGCAATCCCTTGGAAAAAAATATACCACCAGGAGTTTCTCCTTCTTGAATACAGAAGCTGTCACTGTTCAAAGGATGTCATGTACAGCCCTTGGCAGCCAGCCCTGATATCATGATTATACTTCCTCAACTGAAATCATTTTACCCATAGCTGCAATAACCTTTGAAATTTGGATTTAGTGGCTTATATAAGCCCTCCCACATAATCACCTTAGTTTTTCAGATGTTCTTCCTTCTGAACTAATACCAAAGAGAGAAGCTAATTATCAAGGGGAAACACGTTAGAAACCGTGCATGTAATTTTTTGTTTGTGCTTTTGTTTTGTTTTGAGACAGGGTCTCATTATGCAGCCCTGACTGGCCTAGAATGCTCTATGTAAATATTACACTCAAACTCACAGAAATCTGCCTTCAAAGTTTTGGAATTAAAGATGTATACTACCATGCACAGATATATATATATATATATGTGTGTGTGTGTGTGTGTGTGTGTGTGTGTGTGTGTGTATAATATTTGTATTATTTACCCCATATATTTCCATATTAAGACCATCTCAGACTCCTTATCAGATCAAGAAAAGAATCTACAAACATATCCCTTGGATATAGATATGAATTGATGTGTATTGCTAGAATAATAGTAATAGCACATTATAATTTGTACCAGATAGCTCATTTACATGTTGTTTCATTGTTCCCACAGTAACTTACAACAAGCTATATTCTTAACTCTGTTCTAAGAGCAGCAATGGAAATTTTTAATGGTTTATTTATAGTCCAGATAGTGGCAGAGTCAAAAGTCAATTCAACGCTGACCAAAGACCCCTCCCTACTCTATACTCCCCAGCCTTTTGCCACCCAGTGGAGAACGGCTGGTGAGCAATAGAACAAAATGATCATGACAATGAGGAAAAAGATGTGACCATCTTAATAGTGTAGCCAGTTTTACATAGTTTCCTGTAACCCATCCTAGAATCTTTAATAAATTTAACTAATTTCAGCTAATTTTTAGAGGAGCATTTAAAAATCAATGCTATTTATCTGAATATCTCGTTAGCCATAACCAATAGAGTAAAGCCAATAGACTAAACTGCAAAAGAATTCTAAACAGAGCTGCTTTGGACATAAGTACATAAAATAAAAGGGATCTTTTACCCCATGCTGACATATAGGTAACAAAACTACTTTTCTCATACCTAGTAGATAAAAGCATGTGTTCTTTTAGTAGTCAGTGTATGCGAATCTACAGTCAAACCACTTAATGAATATAGTTTCCTTTTGATGAATATAGTTTTTCTTTTGATGTTTAAGGTAAAGGAGGAAGTTGGAAATGTTAGCATTCTGGTAAATAATGCTGGTGTTGTCTACACTTCGGATTTGTTTGCTACACAAGATGCACAAATCGAAAAGACTTTCGAAGTCAATGTGCTTGCACACTTTTGGGTGAGTTTGACTTGTTTTACAAAGTAGTCCCCTTTGAAGACTCAAAGATTAAGAGTTTTAATGATATGACTGCATTTTACCAACAGTTGCACCTTTCAAAATTAATAATGAAGCAAATCATGGTAAGCTTCAGGTATTTGTGTATGGATTTGATTTGATTTTGATTCTTCTGGCTGTTCAGTATTGAGGTCTCAGGTAGCACAGGCTGGCCATAAACTCAATATATAGCGGAGGCTGGCCTTGAACTCCTGATCCTCCTTTCTCTACCCTCAAAGTGCTGGGTTTGCAGGCATGCCCTGCTCATAGATTTTGATTCTGAACTATTTGCACAACTCTCTGTGATAGTACAGACATACAGAAAGGAACAGAGACCACCCAAGTCATTGTCCATGATTCTGCAACAAAGTTGAGTGTGGTGTGCTTTAGAATTCTCATGAGATTCAGGCCCCACGTTATTTCCTGGCCTCGAAAGCTGCAGAGTTTATAAGGTAACTCACCATTCCATTATAAAATGTGTGTGTTTCAAATAGTTCTCAGACAGCTAATTCATAAAAGAGCCCTGGCATTTTCTTGGATGCACACTTGGTGTGATTGGAGCTCGTGAAAATGCAGTATGTTGGTTACTCCACTTTTCCCACGCCATGGATATCTGTCTTCCTGTTTTTATGCTTGGTAAAATATAGTGTGTTTTATTTGTTTCTGTATCCCCAGCACACAGTGGGTGCTCAATAAGTGTTTGGTGTGCCAATCAATTAGTAACCACTAGAAGATTGCTCTTTGTAATATTTGAGATCATGATCAAATTATTGTCTAGTAATTTAATGTTAATTGTTAATCCCTATTGTACTCCAGTGTATCTATCATTCCTATTTGATGTATGAGACGGTAGAAGACATCAATGGCAAGAGGCTAGGGAGGCAAGGGATAAGTACTGAGTGACTTAAACGAGATGGGCTCTCAACACTTTCAGCGTCAGTTGTAGTTATTCCGATGTGACGTCCAGTCCATTTGTCTGGCCTGATGTGCTTGGTGGTTAGGTGATTTCATTTATATCAGGAACAATGTTTAGAGAGCATATCTTTGTTTTAGAGTATTCTCCACAAGACCGTGAACCATGTTTTTTTCTTTTAAATAAAATTATTTCTAGACCACAAAGGCATTTCTTCCAGAGATGATGAAGAATAATCATGGCCATATTGTCACCGTGGCATCAGCAGCTGGGCACACAGTGGTTCCTTTCTTGCTGGCTTACTGGTATGTGACTACTTTTCCTTCACTGACTCCTATACTTAACTTGTATGCTTTTGTGTCTTACTACTTTGGAAACTTTTATATAAGATGCACATACATAAATAACCCATTTACCTATTTATGTATGTCTATTTATACACATCTGTAGTTACATGTACAGACACATGCATATTATTTTTAGGGTTTAGGCACTTAATTTTTCTTACCCTATCTAATGAGGACTATCTTCATCATGATAATAAACTAAAAGTTGCCCAAAGAGAAGGAGCTATGCAAAGCCTTGGGAATCAACTGTTAAGACCCTTTTCAGTTCATCTCAGCTGCTGTTCTAGAGGTCTCTGTAGAAATTGATCCAATTATAAGACAGTCATTTAAAACATTTTCCATGCCTTCTAGCAATAAGAAAACAAAAGAGTAATGTTTTTGCACCATGAAGATGGCAGTAAAATATCTTACAAAGAGGAATGGCCATTTAAAATTGACAAGGGTATCATCTTAGATAACTGTAACCACAGAGCAGTGGGTATACCTCTACCTGAGCTGAAGATCTGTGGTTTCTGAGCTTTGCAGACCCCACTGGGGTCTTAGCCGTTGGCTTCATCTGTGAGTCAATCATGATTTCACTGGTTTGTAGTCAGTCTTTCTCTTTACCTCCAGCCCCCAAATCATGAAGCCTGGCTTTGGCTTAGGCTTGTCCCACTGGCTCTTATAATTTAAATTAACCCATTTATCTTAATCTATGTGCTGTCAGATTGCTCGTGGATTTTTCCTCTCCTGTATACCCTGCTTCCTCTGCATCTGCCTGGCAATTCCACCTTTCTTCCTCTCCAAGTCCTCTGTCCCCGGAAGTCCCACCTAACCTCTTCCTGCCTAGTTATTGGCCGTTCCGCTCTCCATTAAACTCATCACAGTAACACATCTTCACACAGTGTAAAGGAATATCTGTAACATTGTTTCAGTTTTGCGGAGCATCTTCTCAGGCTGGAACTTTCAGACATTGAAGACTTCTACCAACAGAAAACCCAGTCATCAGATGTTGATAACCAGGCATCTGAGCCTGGTGCTTCTAGGTGAACACACTACTTCCATTTCTCTTCTTTCTTTGGGCTTATCCCTGTCTCTCTCTCTCTCTCTCCTTCTCTCCCTTCCTCCATCCCTCTTTTGATTTTTGAGATAGGGTCTCATGTGGCCAAGCCAAGGATGATCTTGAACTCCTGATCTTGTTCTTACTTCCCAAGTCCTAGGTGTGTACCAGTGTACCCAGTCTCTGCAGTGCTGGATCACACTGAGGGCCCTGTGCAGGCCAACTGAGCACTCTGTTTGTGCAATGCTGGAAATCACCCCCAGGGCCCTGTGCATACAAGGCAAGCATTCTACACTGAGCCACAACCTGGCCATGACACTGCCTTTTAATTGTAAAGCTTTTTAAAAGCATAATACTCATTTATAACAATGAAAAATGAATTACTTCAAAATAGATGCAATAAATAATAATAATAATAATAATAATAATAATAATAATAATAATAAAAACATTGCCTCTGGAGCCTCTCTGTGGTCTCCCTAGATACCACTCACAGATAAACACAAACTACCTTGTAACAATACAGGTTAAATTTGCCCATTTTTGATCTTTATGTACATGGCATCTCACTGTATTTGTGAGATGTGCCCATAATGTCATTTGTGACTATTGTTTTATCATACATAGTCTTGTATCATGTTACTACACAGCAACCTGTCTGCCTGTCCTACTGGTTATGAACATCTGGGATGTTTCCAGGATAGGATTCCTTTGGAATAATAAAAGTGAGCATTGCCTGATCATTTACTAGCTTAAGACCTTATACTAACTTCTCAGCTTTTCAGTGCTGAATTTTCCTCATCCATAAAACAGTTTAATAGCAGTATATAATGTAAATCCTAGAATGCAATGAACTTAGCACTGATTCTGGGGCCCTGAGATTTCTCAGTAACTGGAGGGTACCTGCTGGAATTTCACTTCCACTTCCCTATATTCACGAAAAAAAACTGGGCCCAACCTGTCAGCTCCCAGAATACAGCCCTCGGAAACTGATTCTATGTTCTCCAGTTGTTCTTTGTGGGATGAAAGGAAGGGGAGACAGAATTACTGATTCTTTATTCTATAACGGAACCCTCGCCTATCAACGTAGTTGGTTGTCACAGCAACAGAATATCTTAGGACTCTCCGACCATCTTTCTCAGGAGAAAATTAATCATACTATAGGAGTTACATATGAGCAGTTTCAGTTATTGACCTGAAAAGTGCACAGTGGAAAACTGAATTCATAGTGGGGAAGAATAAAGCCTTTTTGATTCTTTCCTAAGATGATTTTTGATGTCTGTTAAGTGGGGTTTTTTAATGGGATCTTGATTTTTTAATATATTTTACTAAATCTTTGGGAATTTCATGTATATATTTTAATCATATTCACAGCCTCCCATTTCTCCCTCTAACTCCTCCCTGATCCTCCACCCTCCTTGAATGAAGAAAATAAAATAAAAAAGGAAAGGACACAACTGCTTCTAGATATGGTGAAAGTGTGTTATAGAAATGTGGGAGAGCATAGCCAGAGGCGGGGACATCTGGGAGTCTAGAGTGGACATGACCCTGAGCCATGTGAGGAGAAGAAGGGGGAGGGGGAGGGGCGGCTGACCAAGAGGGGCAGCCTGGGCAGAGAGACTGGCATAGCCCAAACTGCAGGATTATATAGGAAAGCACAGCTGGGGGAGGACAGCCCAATCCAAATCTGGGCTTGATACTGGTTGAAGGAAGCACTCCAAGTACCATTTCTTAAAGCCACACTGATGCTTTATTGTAATCCATGCCCTTCTTGCTTCAGACACTTGAGACTGTTAATTCCTTAGCTGTTTCTGCATTTTTGATTCACTTAAGAAAAAAGTCAGAAAACAGAATTTCTTTAAGGAAAATTTATTGGTAGCCTCACCAAACTCAAAGAACCATGTTAAGCATTTGGTACAACTCTTTGGGCACATTAAACACAGTCACACATATAAGAAAAACATCAGCATTTAGTTGTGGCTATGGTGGTATGCACCTGCAATCTCAGTACTTTGAGGTAAAAGCAAGAGATCCGGGCTCTGTGAGTTCAGGGCCAGTGGGGGCTGTATAGAGAAACACTTTCAAAGAACAATGGCTGAGTGGTAGAGTACTAGCCTAGCATCCTCACGGTCCTGAGTCTAAAGAGAGGGAGGGGGGAGAGTGAGGAGAATGAAAGAGAGAAAGAAAATCTATAGTTAGCCTGATAGAGTGACACTGAGGCAGGAAGGTCACAAGTTCAAGACCAGCCTGATTCATATAGAAAGTAATATATGCTGGGGTTAAGCCACCACCACCCTGTTCAAGAACTGTGGAGGCAGAGGCAGGCAAAAAAAAGGAAAAGAAAAGAAGGAAGGAAGGAAGGAAGGAAGGAAAATGATGCTGGCATATATTACATATATGTGTACTGAAGCTTTCCACCTCACCATTGAAAGTGACAGTGTTTCGTTTATGGTCCAATACACTCCCAAGCTTAAAACAGAAAACTTTCTACAGCTTTCTGTTTTTTCAAAGTACAGCTTAATTGACAAGACTGTATAGAGACCTTATCTAATTTCTTATTCATAAAGATTTAAAAGCATAAAACTATATAGTAATTAATACACTTGAGGTAACAGATTTTATGTTACATGTATCTTATGACAGTTTTAAAACTAGTAATGTAAGATACCAACAAATGATTGAATTATGTTCTTTTACATACTTTCATATAAAATATAAAGTATTATATGCCTGATATAAAATTTAAAGTATTATATACTTTATATTTCATTACAGCTCTTTTTAGAGTTACATGGAAAATAAAATCCAGTTAGAGTAGTTTCACAATATTTCCAAGCAAAGATGTTTTTGTGAGAATTGCTTTGCACTCTGATTCATTTATTTGACAAATATTTACTGAGTACCTATTAAGAAGCCAGTCCTAGGCAAGGCCCTGGACTCTCATTTGTGACCAATATAGTCATGAAGAGTATAGTAAAGTGTAAGAAAGCCAATGGGCAAGCTTCAGGCTCATAGAGAGAGACCCTGTCTCAAAAAATAAGGCAAAAAATGTTCATAAGTGCATTCATGAACAACATCAATGTTAAAATCTTGCCTTACACACATGTATACACACTGTACACATGAACACTCATGCATGCACACAGCTTCAGGAACAGATCACTTAAAAATTATATACACAAAAAATTAGGCACAGTCAATGTTTCATTTCAAAACTGAAATATTCCATCCTAGAAAACTTATGAGTGCTATATAACGGTGGGGGGTGGAGGAGGACTCAGAAAGTTAGACTCAGAGTCTAACTTTCAGAAAGGAAGAATGGCTGTGTACAGAAGAGCTGCCCACAGAGTGCCATGACTGTTTTAGAAAAAAATAATAAACAGATTCACAGTGACCTTGAATTTTATGGAACCAGCAATAGTGAAAGCAAACATTCTGCAAGCTTCCTGTCTGCTCACTTAATGCACTGAAATCCAGCCGGTTAGGAATGCAACATGTAGGAAATGTCGGGTGCCATGTGCCAGAGGCTCTCTGGTGTCTAGGAATTTACCTTAGTGTGGCTCTGACCCACTAAATCTACCCCAGGGCCATGACGAGGGGTGCCCCTCTGCTGGTCGGAAGAGCTCCCCCAACGATAGGACCACAGTGTTCTTGAATTTACTTGTAAACCCCTTTCTTTCAGTTCCAGCAAGTTTGCTGCTGTTGGCTTCCACAGAGCCCTGACGGATGAACTGGCTGCCCTAGGAAGATCCGGAGTCAAAACTTCGTGTCTCTGCCCTAACTTCATAAACACCGGCTTCATCAAGAACCCGAGTACCAAGTAAGCAGGGACCAGAGCAAGACCGCAGTGCGGGCGGGCTGTTACTATGGAGCCTGTTCTGTGGGGATTAACCCTGAACAGATTAATCCCTGAAATACCTGCCATCTGATGCTGTTAGTTCGCCTTGCTTCAATTTGTAGATTGTGGGAAAACAGGTGGGGAAACAAAGAAAGTGGGGAAAACAAGAATGCAGATCCGAATGATGCAGGTGAACTGGTTAATCTCTCCTTTGTTTCTTCAACCCCGGATCAGCAAAGTTTTCAGACTCACATACACATCTGTGTGTCCTGGACTGCTTGTGACACACACTGGGCTCTCCCACCCCAGAGATGTCTTACCCTGTTTGGTTGAGGTAGGGCAGTGGTGAGGAGGGCGCCTGAGTCCCTGATCAAAATCCACATAGTTGATTCTGGTGTTAACAGCGTGAAAGTTTTTCCCTTGGTGGATTTAGAGGTTATCATCCAAAATGAGTTTCAGACCAAACTATTTCTTTGGTTTTAAAAAAAAACATTCATAAAGAATCAACTCTATGGATAATTTTTCATCTTCCATCTCTTTGGCATTAGCTTTAATGTCTTAGCAATCATAATATAGGAATTATTCTGCATCTCTGACTAGCCTGGAACTCACAATGTAGATCAGGCTTAACTCTGCCTACCCCACCACTACCCCAAGCGCTAGAATGCCCGGCCCATAATGTATATTTTTAAATTCAAACATTACAGGAAATAATACAAAAATTTTTTTCCAAATTTTCTTCATTGGTAGGACCCAACCTTAACATCTGATAGCATCTTTCTAGATAACTTTATATGTGTTAAATAAAATATAAAGTTCATTTTTTTTTTAACTAGGTAAGATTTCACTAGGTGAACCAGGCTGGCTTCAAACTCATCTGCCTGCGTCTGTCTCCTGGGGGCTGGGATTATAGGTGTGTGCCACTGTGTCTGACAGAGTTTAAACTTTAAGTTACACTCATGTACTTTATATTCATAGATCTACCATGAAGGGCCATTAGTATATCAAATCAAATATTTACAAATTGTCATATTCCTACAGAGTGTTCCTCCAGAAGTGGGGCACCAGTTTACAGTTTACCCACAGTAAAGGCAGGCATCTTGCTTCTTCGTCATCAGTCTCCTTTCTGCTCACTTTTTAAAGCATCACCAATTTCATACATGAAGAAACTTTATATTAATAACTGCTTCCATAGCTGGTCTGTGTTTCATGGTATGTGCTCTAGGGGAATGGAGTTTTAAAGCATATTGCTGTTTATATATCTGAGATCCTTTACCTGTCGTATTGGTGCTGCCTCCACAGCCGTTAGGTTCCATGAGGTATTTGGAGAGGTCTGTCTCATGCCACACTTACATCTACCCAAATCACTTTCTAGTATCTTGGATGGGAGGAGATGGGGTAATAGTGTTAGGGGTTGGACACAGGACTTTGCCTATATGCAAGGCAGATGCCCTGCCAGGGAGCGTCACATTCCAGTCCTTTTGGAAGGTTTTTATGGCTGTACTTTTTACATTTAAATGTTTACCTCAATTTACTTTGGCTTAAGAAAGAACTGAAGTTACAACCTAATTGCTTTTCCCAAATAGTTATGAGTTATTCTGTTCTATTGTTTAGTAGCTCATTATTTCTCTCACTGGCCTAAATTTATATCATAATTTCATGTATGTATTTGGCTATGCATTTGGATTCTCTATTTAGTTTTTCCCTTAGTGCATATTAACTGTGCATGATGTTATATTAAATAAGGACATTTTCTTTCTTGTTTATTTTTAACCTGGGAACTTTTGTTTATTTAATTATTTTGAAACCACTAAGTTTATTTATTTTACAAAGCAAAATGTGATACCAAGCTAGTAACAATTTATAAAGATTTATACAGTGACACAATTTATACTAGTAACAGATTGCCCGATGATTCTGTAGCAGTTAGGATTTGTGCAGAGTTAGAAATGGTGATTTACAATGTGGTTAGAAGTTAGTAATGAAGCTTGTTTTGACTGACAAAGAACCCTCCTGTCTTATCATTAAGAGATCTATGAATGATGCTAAGAATCTTGAAGTATATATTTTGCAGGGAAATGGTTGATTAAAAAAATAGCATTTAGTCAGATCAACTAGGTTTCCTAAAACTATAGACTGATTCACATTTAGTGAATTTACAATGTTGGTAATACATATAGACATTTTTATAGGATGTGAACTTCAAACATGCATAAGAAAAAAAGTATTTGTTGTTACCACTTGAATTTGTAGTTAAACACTTTACATTTCAACTCTTCTTCTCTTTCCCTGCCCCCCCTTCTCTCCTCCAGACAAACATTGCCACATCCTGCTTTTTAACTTTTACTAGGTGCTGGGGATGGAATGCACATCTTAATGCTTGCACAGCAAGCTCCTTACTGACTGAGTCATCTCCCCAACCCCCGCTTTCACTTTCGTGTCATATGTACATACACAATTTCATGTATCTATATACATCCTAGGAGTCACAAACGAGAGAAAGCATGGTTGTCTTTCTGAGACGGCCTTAATTCACTTCATACAATTGTCTCCAGCTTCACCCATTTTCCTGTAAGCAACATAACTTCATCTTTATGGCTGAGAAAATTTCACTGTGTGTACACCATTTTCTTTACCCTTTTCCCTGTTGTTGGACACCTAAGTTGGTTCCATCACTTAACTGCTGTGAATAGAGCTGCAATAAACATTGCTGTGTGCAAGTGTCTCTGTGGCAGGCTGGTTTGGAGTCCCTCACGTCATCCTAAGAATGGTATAACTGGATCTTACTATACTCCATCTCCATTCTGATCTCCCTTCTGGTTTACTTTCTCACTGGCTATATATGTGAGGAAAGCAGAGCATGTACTTGTATTCTCAGTGGCTGGCACAACCTCACCTTATCTCTGACTTACTTTTGAAAGCACTGCCACTCTGACTAGGGGAGGTAGGACCACCTCAGTGTAATGCATTTGTAATTCTCTGGTGGGTGCTGAAGCTAAGCATTCTTTCCATGTTTATTGACTATTTGTAATTTATCTTTTGAGAAATATCTGTTCCTTTACTCACTCACTAGATTTGGTGTCTTGATATTTCAGTTTTTAGTTCCTTGTACAATCTAGACGTTAATCTTCTGTCAGATATACTATAAAAGCTAAGTGGATGTACTGCAAGCTAAGACTCTGCCCCAGTCCGTAGTTCACTTTGTGTGCTTTACCTTTTCTGTGGAGAAGCTTTTTAATGTCATGAGATCTCACACAAAAATAATATGTTAAGACACAGTTTTGTTAGGAAACAAAAGTAAGAATGAACCTAGGTCTTCTAGCAGGCACCTCTAGTCTCAACACCCTAGAAGCTAAATTTCTACCAGTCTTGGCAACAAGGTAAGCCCTGTCTCAAAACAAAACAAAACAAAACAAACAAACAAACAAAAAAAACCAAGCAAAAAAGAAGAGGAGAAGGAGGGACCAATTAAACAAACAAAACCCAAAACAACCAAAAAAACACAGAAACAAAAAGCCCCCAAAGCAAGACTGTCTAGTTCAAAAAGCTAGTTCTTAACTCCACCTGAATTAACTAAAAAAAAAAAACCCTAATATGACCCTGAAGGAAGAAAAGCAACAGCTCATTTGGGGAGCAAAGTTAAGGAGAAGTCTTGTTCATTAAATCCAAGAATAGGTGTGCCAAAGTAACACTTGTCTCTTTCCTCTATTATCTCAGAATCTAGTGCTAAAATAACGATGGTGTCTGTGATCTTAAAACTCCAGCTATCTTTCAATTATTAAAATCAGATGCCACAATTTTAAAGCTATTACTGTTTTAACCACACCCTAGGACGTGGCTGGACAAGGCAAGATCGCCCTCTTCTGGCAAAACTGTATTCATACAAGAAATAATTACAGGACATTTTAAAAACATGACTGGAGGCATGTACCCTAACCGAACACTGAACACAGTCTTTTTCTTGAGCATTGGGGCAGATGCCATCAAGTTGTCTGAGGCTCACAGATACCCAAGCAACTCACCCATGAGCCTCAGAACGGAACCTCAGGCATGGTTACACAAAGCCAGATTTCTCACAGAAGAAACTGGAACAGTTTCTAAGTGGCTGAATTTGAAATGATGCATCTCATGTTAATGTTGGCATTTAGATCCACTCTGAAGGACATCCAGGTGTAGTTTATCTCTTCTTGTGTTTATATGTGTAACACACTGCAAAGAAACAGGCTTTCCATAAAGGTTAGAATTCACTGTAGTCTAAATTTATGGTAATTAAATATTACCATGCATTCCAATTAAGTTCTTGAGAACCAAGAATTGTTTTTATTAAATAAACTTGGATAATGTACTGGCTGGTTATGTGTGTCAACTTGACACAGTAATCAGAGAGGAAGGAGCCTCAGCTGAGGAAATGCCTCCATGAGATCCAACTGTAGGGCATTTTCTCAATTAGTGATCAATGGGGGCGGGCCCAGCCCATGGGGGATTGTTTCCTTCCTTTGGAAACTTGGATGTCTTCTCAATGTGGACTTTCACATCAATTGTTTTGATACTTTTCTTCTTTTTCTGAGACTGTCTCTCACATTTTGCTGTGATGTGCCTTCTTTTCTTTTCTTTTTTCTTTTTCCTTTTCTTTTTTTTTTTTTTTTGTTTTGTTTTTCGAGACAGAGTTTCTCTGTGTAGCTTAGGAGCCTATCCTGGCACTCGCTCTGAAGACCAGGTTGGCCTCGAACCCTGGCAACGAACGCCCGGCCTAATGTGCCTTCTTTTCATCTCAGAGCATCTGGTTTTGTGCAGCTTCTCCTCCCCTCTGGATGTATGAGTCTGTGCTGCTCACTTTCCCTGTGACTTCGAACTTTCCAGTTCCCTTTATTTTGCTGGTTTCTAACTTCACTCCATTGTGGGCTTCATCCATTAAGGACAGAACATACTTTGTTCAATTTCAGTCTTTTTGCACTCGCCTAGATGTGTTTTGTGGTCTAACGCATGGCCTCTGCTAAAGAAAACTTTTCTATATGCTCTTGAAAAACCTATACAGTCTGCCATTGCTAAGGGAACACTGTGTCCACATCAGCACAATGTAGGTGACTTCTAGGATCTTTGAAGTCTCTTGCTGGTCTTGTCTCAGCATCTCATACACTGTTGAAAGTGGGGAATGAAGTCTCCCACTATGATTGCCAAACTCTATTTTCTCCTCACAGTTCTGACACTTTTAGCTTCATATGTTTTGAGAAAAGGTCCTTGTGCTCAGAGACAGCACAAGGGAAACCAGGAATGCTATACACACAGGGTGAGCTTCTCAAAGAAAAGGCTTTATAACCTGTTTTTGAACCCAGAAGGCTGGGAATGCAGGTGGCTAATAGTTTGGTGATCTTTTGGCCTTTTTAAACCACAGTACTTGAGAGTTATTGCACTTCATTCAGAAGTGGCCTGACCTTAGGCAGTGCAGATACATCAAGCAGCATTCAGTCAGTTACTGCAGAACTTCTGATGGCGAAGATACCAGGCTAAAGTGTAGATTTCCTGATGGGGAGGGGGGGCGGGTACCAGGCTGTAGTGTGGACTTCCTGGTGGTGGGTACCAGGCTGTAGTGTGGACTTCCTGATGGTGGGTACCAGGCTGTAGTGTGGACTTCCTGGTGGTGGGTACCAAGCTATAGTGTGGATCATGGTTGTGGGTACCAGTCTATAGTGTAGACTTCCTGATGGTGGATACCAGGCCACAGTGTAGCCCTCCAATGTGCTATGCCATTTACACCAGTGTTTATGAACTCTAGACCCCAGAGCGACCTTTCCTCTAAATGCAGAATTCCACTTGAAGGTCCAGACTCCACCTTCAGCGAGATACCTCGTTTCTGAAGCCTGCCTCTGTTTTAGCTTAGGACCCACCCTGGAACCTGAAGAGGTAGTAAAACATCTCATGTATGGGATCCTCACTGAAAAGAAGATGATATTTGTTCCAAGTGCTTTAGGGTTTTTGATGGTGTTGGAAAGGTAAGCAACAGTTGTGTTTGTCTGCATTAAAAGTCAACATGTTCCTACTAGATTTAAAAATCAGTAGTTAACACTGTTAAATAGGAGTAAGTTGAGAAAAAAATAATAGGTGAAAAGGTTCTGAGTTTTTAAAACAGAATACTAATCATCCAGGGAAGACTGGAATAGTCACTGAGACATTTCTGTTTGTAAGGTTTGCTAGGTTTTTGGTTTTCTTTTTTTTAAGAAATGTATGTCTCTTGGGCTGGAGGGATAGCTCAGCCATTAAAGTCCAAAAGTATAAGAAATGTATATCATTTATCAATGAGCAAGAATGTTTTAAAGCATATTTAGTAGTAGAATCATTGGACAATAGGATGAAAGGAGACCAAGGTTGAATTTTTTTTTTAAATCTTTTGTCATTTATAAAGCAAAATGCTTACTTTCCATACTTGGTTCTAGCCCAATAGGTAATTTCCAAGAAATCTAAGAGAGACATGGTCTCACATTAACAATGAAAACTGGTTTTGGTTTTAAATTCTAAAAGTGACAGCACAAGGATGGTGGTGTGAGAAAGTTGTTGTCACTGTCCCTACCTAGAAGCAACAGCTCTTATTGTTTCTGACTTGGAAATGGAGACAATACGGAATCAAAAAGTTTCCCATGTGGGGATACATCTTCGGAATCCAGAATGGCTCCCTGCAGCACTTCTCTGTCTGCTGTAACCCGCATCAGCTAAATGGACGATTGTCCTCTCTCCACAGAGCTTACCTTCCAGCAGTCTTGAATGCCTTTTTGATTTGCAGACCCTTAGTGACATATGGGACCAAAGACAAAAGATAGTTTAGAAAATACCAGTTTAAAGAAAAAGAAAATCAGCACCTGTAGTACAGGAAGAAGTGCTAACAAGGGGCCTTGAAAAGTCTTGAACCGTCAGCTCAGGTATTTGTCACAGTCTTTGTTCAGTTGGTAATAAAGTTAGAGTTTAGATACTCATTTGCAGATCTCATGGGAGTTTTCATGCTATGGAAAACCATCTGGAAGCATAGAAGTGACTAAATGATCTATAATTTTAGAGACCTTGGCTTTGCTGGCAGCTGTTTGAATGTGGTCTAGCAGATCACTATATGTCATTACACTGATTTATATATCCTGTTTACTTTATCTCAGACCCACTAGACTGGGACAAGCTTCTAAAGGTTCTTTAGTACACACTCCGGAGAGAAAAAAAAAGGGAGAGAGAGAGATGAGCTGCATGTCTGTCACTGTTCATAGCCTTTAATACTAACATAGAGACTGTTCACAAGAACAATTGGGCATACATTTTTCCATATACACGTGAGAAATTTAAACTCAAAGGTCAATTAATTGGTTCAACATTATACTCAAAACCAGGGGCACTGCCTACATTTTCGTTTAGCAGCCCCTTCTCTGGCTGTAGAGCATCCCAGTGGTGTTTTGAATTATAGAGCACCATAATATTAGTACTGAATTTTACTGCCTTTCAAGCGTCAGGGTTTTCTTTAACTCTTCTGCATCTCAACTCTTCAGCTTTGTGTACCTCCTGAGATCTTCTGGGGGAAAAAAAAGGAAGAATATGCTTATTTCAAAAGTAAATAAGTTACATCTGTGTGTGTGTGTGTGTGTGTGTGTGTGTGTGTGTGTGAATTTTGAAAGCTATTCGAGACACTCCTACCCTAGAGAAAGTTAATCCTTGTTCCTCATTTAAGAAGGAAGTGAATTGAAATGAAAAAAATTTTAATTCAAGTTATAGATCTCAATCATGTCTGTAGTGAATCTGACACAATGAACCATAAATTAAGTGTTTAGTGTTTTAAATGAGTATGTTTTACAAATGTACTTAGTGTCACTTTCCTAATTATATTTCCTAATTATAATTATATCCATGTATCTCCTAGGATCTTTCCTGAGCGGTTCCTGGCAGTTTTAAAACACAGGATCAATGTCAAGTTTGATGCAGTTATTGGCTACAAAGATAAATGATGAAGACTGCCTGGTTTTCTTGAAGGCTGATTTACTGGACTCAAGTTGATTTCTTCCAATATGAATTGAAATTTTAATGTTTTTGACTTGTTTTTCTCATGATCTTGTCCTTTTGAAGTGTGACCACACTCATAAAAGCCAGCTTCACATCACAAAGCCAAAAGGCCTTAAGAGTTGCTATTACGAAAAAGGGGGCTGAGAGAGGATGATCAATTTCATAACAATTTCCCCAGATTTTGTATCTCATCACCAAGTTTTCAGAACTCAATTTTTATTTAAGATATTTGTAATTGCACTTTTAGTTTATGTAATTCACATTTCCTCTTCTATTCCATATGAAATTATAAACTTTACCCTCTCAAGATAGAATGAAGGACTGTGTCTAGTGTCATTTCACAGTGGTTTCATGTGCTCTGAAACATCCCATCTCATACATCAGCGCTGTTGCCTGAAATGCCAGCCCAAGGGAGCTGGGGGGTAGATGCTATTGCAAGGATAAAAGCATCTGTCGGATTTCAGGCAGAAGTATGGGAGAATAACTTACAAATGGTAACAATAAATGGACAAGATTTCAATTCTCAGTGTTTCCATCTGCTACACATAGAACATGGCTTAACCTTTAAGTTAAAGGAAAGCCAATGATGCAATAAAGTCTCTCTCTCTCTCTCTCTCTCTCTCTCTCTCTCTCTCGTTTTGTTTTTTTTTTTTTTGTCTCCAGAAATTTCTTGAACATGAAGTTCATCGAGGTGGGACTGTTTATCAGGTTTCAGGTGGGGCTGGGCATGTAGCTCAACTGGTGGAGTACACCCCTAACATTCACAAACTACCAGGCTCCATCCCTAGCACTCTGCACGTCTGGCCTGGCAGTACACACACTTATCCTGGGGCTCTAGAGCTGGAGGCAGGGGGAAGCTCAAGGTCAACTCACAGCTATGTTGTGAGTTAGAGCCAGGATACCTGACACCATGTTTTTAAAAAGCATGACACTTGAAGATGCAGTGCCTGATATAGTAGTTCCTACCTCCTGTAAAAGAAGCTTTGTTCAGCCAGGAAGTGGTGGTGCATGCCTTTAATCCCAGCACTGATTCACTCTCAGATAGCATAAGGTGGCCTTGAACTAACAGAGATCCATCTACCTTTGTCTCTTGAGTCCACTGCCTGATCTCTATAGCTTGAGGCTGGCTTTGCTTTCTGAATCCTCAGGCAAGCTTTAGTAAATCATAAATAATATATCACCACAGCATATGATACTGGCAAAATGGAAACTCATTTCTTGATTGTTAAGACACCAGGCAGAGATTGCCATGTGATTGTTTCAGAATATTTGTGTACACTGTAAAGGTGCATCTTTGCCAAGGCACCTTCTGATTGGTTCAATAAAGAGGTGAATGGCCAATAGCTACGAAGGAGAGGATAGGTGGGACTTCCAGGCAGAGAAAGGAAAGGGGAGGAGGAATCTAGGCAAGGAGATATTGCCAACAGACTTGGAGAAAGTTAGATGTGCTGTACAGAGGAGTGCCAGGATAGGCTCCAAAGCTACACAGAGAAACCCTGTCTCGAAAAACAAAAACAAAACAAACAAACAAACAAACAAAAACAGAGGAGAGGTAACCAGGCAATGTGGCAGAACATAGATTAAAAATATGGATTAAGTTATAAGAGCTAATTGAGGACAAGCCTAAGCTAAAGGCCAAGCTTTCATAATTAATAATCTCCATGTCATTATTTGTGAGCTGGCCATCCCAAAAGAAAGTCAAATTACACATGATCTCACAGCAGTCCTGTGCAGTGGGATAGTCAGGACTCAAGCTGGCTGTGGACAGAGTGGTAGCCACGGGAACCCAGAAGAGCAACTCTGAGTCTAGATCCCCACTCTTCAGGGATGGCAAATGTATACAGGATGGGGGAGGGCTTCTGAATTTTTTTTTCTCTGCATTTTTTAAAAAGCTTGCTCTAATCCACCAACACCAGGCAGTGGCTCCTTTGCCTCAGGGTCTGAGGCTTATTAAATGTTGTTTGAAGTTAATCCTTGCTTGAAATCTATCTCTCACTAGTTTGATGAGAAAATCCACCTTGTTCATTCATAGGGCTGCCTCTGAGGAGCATACCCAAACCTAAGGCCTGAGAGGCCAATTGCCAACAGACAGGATCCTGTTTCTGCACTGGAGCCACCTTGAATGTGATGACTAAGCTTGATTGTCAGTTTATTTAGATTAAGGAATGCCTAGGGAATTAGCAATTCTCACTGTTGGGTGTACAGCAAGGTTGTTTCCCCAGACAGTAACTAAGAAAGGAATGTCTACACTGATATGGCAGCACTGTCTTCTAGCCTGGGACCTCAGGTGGGACAAAGGAGCACTGAGGAGAGCCCACTAGCCCTTCTGCAACTCTCTGTCTCACTATTGGTCAGAATCAGTAGGTGATCTGGTCTTGGATTGTAACCCAGGAGCAAAAGTCACTTCTTCCTCCCTTGAGTTGTATACTGAGGTCTGTCTCATCCCAGCTGTCGTACTGACTTGACAAGAATCCAACATTTTATTAGAAAAAAAAAGACTATAAATGGTGGGAAGTCAGGCTAAGGAACAAGGTTAACACCCTCAACACAGATGTGGCTGATGGCTAAAGACACTGTGTGTGTGTGTGTGTGTGTGTGTGTGTGTGTGTGTGTGTGTGTGTGAGAGAGAGAGAGAGAGAGAGAGAGAGAGAGAGAGAGAGAGAGAGAGTTCATAAAAATCATGACAATTTCTAACAGTCTCCTCTTGAGACACTGGGGGGTATGGCTCAGTCAGTAGAGGACTTGCTTTCCCAGGGTAGGTGACAAAGTACTGCCTTGGGGAAAGCTGTGTGGTAGATACCATTGTCTCTATTTATGGATAAGCCAGTAGTATATAGTCCAAGGAGGTTAAACAGCTTACCTAAAAATCCCAAATTCTCAAGATTTGATCCCAAGCTTGCTGACCTTCCATCATGTAACCTCAGTGAAAGTCCCAAGCACTAGACTGTTGCCCTACATATCATCCGTTTCCATTTCTATTTACCTTCACAATTCAAAATATATTTGAAAACTCAGCAAATAGATGTCCAGGATGGGAAGGAAACTACTTAATCTAGAACAAACATTTGCAATTTAGACTCTGAGTCCCTCCACCTGGAAGAGGGTGGCCTGCCCAGCTCTGCACACCACAGTCTAAGGTTCCTGAAACTAAAATAGACATAGGTCAGCAATGGAGTGTGGTCTTCTTCCTCTCAGGATACCAAATCTTTCTCAAAATAGACAATAACATTGATTTTTCTTTAGAACTAACCTGGTGTGACTTGTTTTACTTTGTCATCCTTTATCAAAGACTGAGGGAGATGAACCTCTTACTTAGTGGTCTTCTGTCCAATTCTAGGTGCCCAGCAGTGTAGAGAACATGGTCTAGTACAAGTTAGAATCTAGTACAAGTTGAGAAATGGGAGATGGGGCACAACTCCTTTGGGGATTGACCGACTGTTTCACAGGGGTTTCGGAAGACCACCTGCATATCAGATATTTACATTATAGCTCACAATTGTAGCAAAATTACAGTTATGAAGTAGCAACAAAAATAAATTTGTGGGGGGGGTCACCACAACATGAGGAACTGTATTAAAGGGTCCCAGCATTAAGAAGGTTGAAAACCACTGGGCTAGATGGTCATGAGCTTCAATTTCCTATCCATAAAGTGACTAAATCAGCCGACATAATCTCATGGTGACCTTTTGTTCTGTTAAATAGTGTCTTAGAGTCAAAGTAAGCTATGAGTAGCACTTTCTCAGTTTCATTGGTGTTTCCTACCAGGATGACCCTTCTGACAAGTGCCCAAGTCCAGACACAGAAGAATTTCTCTCCTTCCCCTTCACACATTCTATGTCAATCACCATCTCCCATGAGGGGTTGCTTCTGTTATAATTTTAGAAGGATGCTCCACAGAGAAAGATGCCACATGACAGAGCTTGGGTGGAAGGTTTTTTTGTTTTTTTGTTTTTTTTTACTGGGGGGAAGTGAATGCAAAAAGTGTGGAGAGGGGAGGGGAGGGGAGACTGGCCTCTGCGGACAGGGTAGGCAGAAGAGGAGAGGCAGAGAAAGGGGAGAGACAGAGAGAGAAGCAGAGGGAAAGAGAGAAAAATGGAAGGTGGGCAGGGCCAAGCTTACAGGGAACATAGTGAATGTGCACAGGTGGTGCTCTTAGTGGCTCCAGCTGAGGGTGTATCCTGTCAGAACCCCAAGGACAGGCCAATACAGATACCTGAATACTAACATTCCTTCCTTTCAATTTATTTTAAAAAGATGAGGAGTTAGAGATGGGTAACAGGTGAGGCAGGGATGAGGATGCTGTGTTCTCGAGACTGCTTTCTGCTGACCTTGAGGGGGCATCCTTCATCTTTGGGGGACCAGGGAAAGCTGCTGTGCTGACCATGTCCTGGAGTAGCTGGCTATTTCATTTCACTGTCCAGGCTCTGTGGAACTGTCAGGCACCACCTAGACCTGGAAAAATGCTGTTCAAGGTGGATCCTAGGGCTTCAAGCACCTGACCTTTCCCGTCATCACAGCATCACCGGGACATATTTGGTAGTGTTGCACCTCCAGCTCTATGGACAACAGCTGGTAGTCCTGCAACAATAGCTGATTAAGAATGGTCAGTGAGTTTCCAAAAAACATCCCAATGGGAGCAAAGATATATAGACGATGACACAGCTCCCATGAGTGGGACAGAGAAGACCCAAGGGTCTGCAATTCCTAGCATGCCAGGAATTCAGAGATGGTTGATCTCAAGCCAGGCACAGGCTGCTCAGTGATTCATCAAACACAGAGCAGGGGCCAAGGGCTCTGAGCCTGAGAGAGACACAGACATCTGGTACCAGGACTTCAAGAAAAGCCAGAAGGCAAGGATAGGACTGTGCTCGAGAAAGGAAGCCTCATGTCCAGAGGAATGATCAAGAGGTGGATAACCCCACCAATTGTTGCTGAATGGAAGACAAAGCCACCAGCAAACAAGAAAGCGTATTTGTTGCAGGTGCAAGAGGGCAGATGTATTGAGGGTGGAGCAGGTGGGTAGGGTCCCAGCATGAAATGATTAAAAAGGGCTGGGAAGCAGATTTTTGGAAGATTTTGGAAGCAGGCTTATCCCCATACCAGATCCAACGGCTATTTATAAAGTGAGGATCTCAAGAAAGGCACAAGCCAACAGATGATTGTCAATCAAGGGGCAGGGGCCGAAGGACCTGAGGGTCCAAGAAATGAGACAGGCACAAGCTACCCAGTGGGTTATCACACAAAGAGCGGATCCCAAGGGCTCTGAGCCCAAGAAAGCCTTGGTTGCCTGATACCAAGGCTTAATGAGGCCAAAGGTGAAAAACCATGCTTGAGAGACAAGTCCTCACCAGTGGAAATAGGCAGAAGTGGGGAAGAGGGAGTGACTCACCAATCATACAGGTTTTGGAAGGAGGGACCCAGTCAGTGATCTGGTGAAGTGAGACTGTGGTATGTGGACCGGGTTCCAGGGTCTGGGCATGCCTCAAACTGCCTGTGGACAGGAGGAAACGCCAGAAGAAC